TTGGCCCTGAAAATTGCACCTGATCCTGGACCTTCTCCTGGAGGCTCCCAGAGCAACCTGGGCTTCCTCCCCCGTAGCACTAACTATGGGATGCTGTCACTGGCTGCTTACCAGGCTCACCCCTTCCAACTCTGCTGGACTGTGAGCCCATTGAGAGTAGACTATCTTCTACTTTGGAAATCCTAGCACTTAATCTTGAGCCAGGCACATAGTAAACATTAAGTAAAGATTTATCAGCCGGGCACAGTGGCTCACACCTGTAATTCCAGCACTTTGGGAGGTCGAGTTGGGTGGACCACTTGAGGTCAGGAGTTTGAGACCAGCGGCTAACATGGTAAAACCCCATCTCTACTAAAAACACAAAAATTAGCCAGGCATGATGGCGGGCCCCTGTAGTCCCAGCTACCTGGGAGGCTGAGGTGGGAGAATCGCTTGGACCTGGGAGGCGGAGGTTGCAGTGAGCCGAGACTGTGCCACTGCACTCCAGCCTGGGTGACAGAGCAAGAGATCAAGACTCTGTCTGAAAAAAAAAAAAAAGATTTATCCAGTGGATGGCTATCCGATTTTTGTCAGGCATAGGGGTGAATAACGGTGCACACTAAAACTATTTACTATCTGTCCCTTCACAGAAAAGATCTGTAGACCCCTGTAGTAACTCAGTTAATCCTCACCAGTACCATTAAGGTCAGTGCTGTTATTATCTCCATTTTATAGATAAGGCAACTGAGGCATAGAGGCACAGAGGGCTTGTCTAAGATTACACAGCTATTAAGTACAGAGGCTGGAGTTGAATCAGGCAGTCTCGCTCCAGCCCATGTTGGATCATTCCCTTTCTAAGAATGTTACCTGCTTCATTCTCTTTCTAAGAATGATCAGGAGGTGCTGATGGGGTGGGAGGGATGGGCTGGCCAACGTCATAATGGAAGCAGCACAGCAGGAAGGAGAGCTGGGAGCCCAGCAGAGCTCTGATGGCCCAGGGCTATTGTTTTTGAGGCTTGGCCTGATTCTGGGACCCAGAGCTCTCAAATTCTGTTTCCTAGAGCAGGAGTCCTACCCCTAAACATACATAAACACCCCCAACCTTCCCAATCTGAAGACTGAGTGTAGAATACTCCCCACTTAGGACTTGAGGTCTCAACATTTTCCTTAAACCTTTGACCCCTGCTACGAGTTGTCTACATGAGAGTTGTCTTAGTCTGTTTTCTGTTGTTATAGCAGAATACTTGAGACTGGGTAATTTATAAACAAAAGAAATTTATTTCCCCAGTTCTGGAAGCAGGGAAGTCCAAGGGCATGGCCCCAGCATCTGCCTGGCATCTGGTGAGGGTCTTCTTGCTGTGTTATAACAGGGTAAAAGGGCAAGCAAGCACGTGAGACACAAAGAGAGAAGCATCAGAGGACAGAATCAATGGATGACAGCACACCCACATGATAACATAAATCCATTCATGAGGACTCCCCGTCGTAGCCCCACCTCCCAACATGGTCACATTGAGGATTAAGTTTCTAACACATGAACTTTTGGGGGACATGTTAAAACCATAGCAAGAACAAGGATCCAGTGGTCTCTGATTTAACACAGTTAGGTTAATTTAAGGCTGAATATACTGTTATTTAAAAAGAGGTCAGGTGAGGTAACTCATGCCCAGCGCTTTGGGAGTCTGAGGCAGGCGGATCACCTGAGGTCAGGAGTTCAAGACCAGCCTGGACAACATTGTGAAACCCCATCTCTACTAAAATACAAAAATTAGCTGGGCACGGTGGCACACATCTGTAGTCCCAGCAACACAGGAGGCTGAGGCAGGAGAATTGCTTGAACCCAAGAGGCAGATGTTGCAGTGAACCAAGATCGTGCCACTGCAGGTGAGACTCCATCTCAAAAAAAAAGAAATTTTTGTTGTAGTTCCACAAAAGAATGATCTGGCTTCTATGGGCTTCACAGTTTAAACATGTTCAAGAACTTCCCATTCTTCTGATGTTGACATTTGGATGCGGTTCAACTCAGAGGTTAAAAAAAAACCCAAGAAGTAAATCCTCTAGAATCAGAAGAAAAATTGCAGCCTTGAAAATCACAGCTCTACTCATGAGGCCTCCCAGATGTGCTAGAAGCTTTTCCTTACTGATAAGAAGTGCAAAAAAAAAAAAAAAAAAAAGAAGGCAAGCGCTTTCTCCTTAAGGCCCCCAGAGCAACCTGGGCTTCCTCCCCGATAGCACTAATTATGGGATGCTGTCACCGCCTGCTTCCAGCCTCAACCCTCCAGCCCACCGGACCGTGAGCTCACTGACAGTAGACTGTCTTCTACTTTGGAAATCCCAGCACGTAACCTTAAGCCAGGCACATAGAAAACATTCAATAAAGATTTATCCAGTGTATGGCTATCCAATTTTTGTCAGGCGTAGGGGTGTATAATGGAAAACAAGACGGAAGCAGAAGGTTGGGACCAACCCGACGAAGGCCCTGGCATCAGTCAAGGGTGCTAGCATTCATGCTGTGGGTGTGTGGAGCCACTGTCAGCACTAGGTGAGGCCACGGCAGGGAGGACAATGCCCATCGGCAGGACTGCCATGCCACATGAGGGCTGGAGCAGAGCAAGGACAGACCAAGAGTGAGGAAGGCCTGACAGGTGCCCCAGCATCCTGTATGCATGCAGGTCTCTGCAGCCTTTGGAGAGCCTGGACAAGTACCCTGAGTTCTGCTAGCACCTGGGTTACACTGACAGAGCAAGTTCTGACCTGCAGCTCTGGTATCCTGCCAGAACCCATGACCTCACCCAAGTGCAGAGGGCCCATGATAAGCATGTGACACAGCAGCCAGCACGGGGACAGGCCACAGTGGGATGAAGGGATGGAGCTTAGCTTAGAAACAGGAGAGGGAAAAAGGTTACTTCCAGCAGGGAGAATGGCCTGGATTCATAAAATCCATTCATTCACTCATTCATTCATCCATTCGACAAAGCTTTATTGAGCACCTAGTATATATGGGGTCTGTGGGAGACAAAAGCTGTCTCTACATTCATAGTTCATTAAGAAGAAGGGTAAGAAATGTACATAAACACAAGAGAGACACAGAGACCAGAGAACCATGGGGCCAGAGGAGAGAGGAAGCATTCCTGTTGAGAGTGAGGGGGAAGGCTTCCCGAGGAGGGGACATTTCAGACAGGCCCTAAAGATGAGTACAAGGAGATTCCAACAAGAAGACATGGGAGGGGCAAGCAGGGAAGGCAGGAGACCATGAGCTCCTGGGGGTGGGAACCATGGCAATCTGGTTCCTAATTGTCCCTGGTCCCCGCTTGGTGGTCAGTGAGCATTTGTCTTGTTTGTTGAATGAGACAATGACTGTTTCCTGGCCCCTCCTTCTCTCTTCACCTGGATCCACCACTGATTACCCGAATTTCTCCCTCTACAGCACTTAGTCTCCTGAGCTCTGTTCCTTCTGCCAAACCCACATCTTGGCCCTCAAAGGCAAAATGTCCCTTTCTCTGACCCCACACACCCTCTCCTCATATCCTTGATCTCACCCCTGCCTATCCCCAGTACCCTGCTCCTTCAGTGGCCCTGTCTCTCCATCTGCTTAGCTTCTCCCTCTGTGGGCTCCTTCCCATTAGCTGATAAACCTGTATAAGTGTCTGGCACTCCCCCAAGCCCTCACTTCCTAATAAGATGCTGCATTTCCTAAGAACAAGTCCAGGCACCACGGGATGTGCCTCTTCACGGACCCCATCAGATGGTGCCCTATGCTTGGAAAACATTCATTGAATGGATGCATCCAATCCTGTCATCTCCTAGCATCATCAGTGGTCCTCAACGTAAAGTCAAATGTCACGTGTATGACCTACAGATGCCCAGTGAATGGGATTGATCTGGCCTGCCTCTCACTTCCTCTAGTCTTCCTCCCCAGCTCCAGTCATTCCTGAGTAATTATACTACCCAGAACCCACTACACTGCCCTTGCCTCTCCTGAGCTTTGTGCATGCTGTTCCCTCTCTCTGGAATGCTCCTTCCCTCTCTCTGGAATGCTCATCACCACGTGCACTTTTGCTCTCAATGCAGCTCAAGGGTCTCCTCCTCCCACGAGACTGTGAGCATCCTGGGAGTAAAAGGTGGCCCTGGTTAATAACTTTAGCCCTAGTGCCTACGTAGCTGCTCAATAGATGTTCATCAAATAAGCAAGTTAAGGAATATAGGGAGAAGTGCTAGTGATTCCAGAGGCATATGCTCAATTTTCCTCTTGAGTCCTGGCTCCCACCTGCAAAAAGAGGTGAAATTCCTTAGGGGCACAGAGTGTCCAAGAAGACATGAGCCTATAGTCTGGTTTCCCCTAAACTCAGCTCTAGGAAGATTCTTCTTTTAAGCTGGCTTAAAGAATTAGGCATGTGCTTAATGATTTTCTTTTAATTCAAGGCAGAACGGGAGTATGACTTCTATTGTCACGTTCTAAAAATATTTTTTCTATGGTTCTCTGCTTTCTTCACAGTAAAATAGCCTTGGCATGACCCTGTTTTTGCATAACTGAAAACACAATTTAATGAAATAGCACTTTATGAGCTTTAAGGGAAGCAAATATCTGACCTAATCAGGGGTGAAAAAGGGGATAGAGACTCTATGCCAGGCTGTTCCATCTCTGTTAGGAAAGGCCCAGGGCCAGGCAGTTCCCAGCTTTTCAAGGAACATTGGCACTGGAGTCCAGGATCAATTATCCTCAATCAATCAGCAAATATTTATTGCGTGAGTACAGCATGGGGGCCTATAGCTGCAGAAAATAAGATGCATGTGAACCTGGTTTGCTTTCTATGGTGAGCTCTGTCTGGTCATATCATTCCTGTTACTTCTATGAATAATTGTAGCTAATAGTCACTGGGCAGCCACTCTGCAGCATGAGCCTGGTTGTACACTATGTTGACTTTTTGTAACACTCTGAGACACGTAGTATGACTTCCACTTAGTAGATGAGGAAATTGAAGTTCATAAAAGTTCCTACATTGCCCCAGGTCACAAAGCTAGAAAGTAGCAGATCTGAGATCTGAATGTAGATCTGATTTCAATCCCAAAGTCCTTTACTAATGATAGCCAATATCACGAGTCTTCTAAGATTACAGAGCATTTTCCAGTAAATTTCTAATTTGATTCTGTCACTACTCATAGGAGGCCAAAATTATGATAATTCCCATTTTACAGATAAAAGAACTGAGGCTTGGAGGATTCAAGCAACTTGCCAAAGGTTCCTGTTGGCAAATGGTATATCCAAAAAGATCTGAGCTGAAGCCAATTCCTGCATTCCTTCTGCTACACCTTGGCAAGGACTGGATCACTGAGTGTTGGCCCCTCAGCTGCTTCTAGCAAAGAGCTGGATACTGACAGGCAGAATTCTCACCTAACAGCCCCAGCGAACACCCTGGTGCCAAGCCATGGATGGCCCTGACTGGACTCTGCCCCAGACACCTGCCCATGGAGGACAGAAGAGGAGGCTGTTCCAGGCCAAGTGACCAGCTGCTCTGGGGACTCGCAGCCCGGCACTGGGAGCTGACAGGGAGCAGGAGGGGCAGAGCGCTCTGCCTGGGCTCCAACAAACAGGCTTTCTAGTGAATGGACCAATTGGCAGTTGTGGGTTATGTGGCCAGTTGTGGTTAGGGGAAGGGAGGAGCTCCTGGAGGAACACTGCATTCCTGCTCCTGTCAGTGACTCCGAGAGAGTTCTGGACTAAGAGGTGGGAGCACAAGCCGTGTCAACTCCTCTGGGCTCCAGAATTAAGCCCACTCCCACATCCTCCTGGCCCCTGGAGCAGGAGCTCTCCCCATGACAGGATTCAGAAGGGGCTTTCCTGAGTGGAACCAGCCTTGGTCATACGCCACCCCGCTCCCCGCACCCCCGCCACTGTTCCCTGACTGAGAAGGCATTAGCACAGACACTCTGGAGTCCCCCTTTAATGACACCTGAGGTAGCACTGACTGAACAACAAATGCAGTGCCCTCTCTGCTTCACCAGCCCCTCAACGACGACCACTCTACGCCTTCTCTAGCTATATTCTGTATTCTATATATTCTAAGCAATGCTTTAGGCATTTTATGCATAATCACCTAACTGATCCTTATACCAACCCTACGAGTAAGGCATCATTATTATTACTATTTATTTTTTACTTTTTTTTTTTTTTTTTTTTGAGACGGAGTCTCACTCTGTCACCCAGGCTGGAGTGCAGTGGCCGGATCTCGGCTCACTGTAAGCTCCGCCTCCCGGGTTTAGGCCATTCTCCTGCCTCAGCCTCCCGAGTAGCTGGGACTACAGGCGCCCCCCACCATGCCCAGCTACTCTTTTGTAGTTTTGGTAGAGACGGGTTTTCACCGTGTTAGCCAGGATGGTCTCGATCTGACCTCGTGATCTGTCCTCCTCAGCCTCCCAAAGTGCTGGGATTACAGGTGTGAGCCACCACGCCTGGCCGAGTAAGGGCACCATTATTAACTTCATTTTACAGATGGGAAAACTGAGGCACAAAAAGGTTAGGTACCCTACCAAGGGTCATGGAGTTATCAGGAGGCAGAGCTCGGATTTTAGCCCAAGCAGTTGGGTTACAGAGCTAATGCTCTTACTCGCCACATTCCACTTGTGAGGGCTGTGAGACTTTTCCTCCCCCCAGGGAGAAGTGCCTAGCAGCAGCCAATGGAAAGGGCACTTGTCTTCTGGCTGGAGGACCCGGGACTGGGCTGGGCTGGGCCCCCGGCCCAGGGCTCACGGCAGCCACAGAAATGAGTGAGTATTGCTCGTTGTATTTGGAGTCATCCATGACTTTCCTCCCTTCACACGGGGAAACCTTAGGAAGGTGTCCTCTCCCCACTTACTCTCCTGCTCTAGGCCTCCCCCATCTCTGCCCAGCCTGGCCTCCACACAGGCATCCAAGCATCACCTTGGACTTCCCAGTTGGCACTGGGCAAACCAACATAGAGAACCAAGACAAGGAGCAACCTTAAATCACGTAAGTGGAATAGAGGGGTCTATCTCTCTGGCTGTATCTAGGACCTGATTTCTTCTAATTCCCAATCTCTTCTCTACTCCAGGTTTCTGATTTCCTTCAAGTGACTTCTGAAGCCAAACCACTTTGGGCCTTTGGGGCACTGGAACATTTCTTCATTGTCATACTCATACCCCTTGATGTGTGTGTCCCTGGCAGTCTGTGAAGAGGGAGGCCATGTAATTCAACAAAGTGTGGACAAGCACAGGCCAGGCATGCAGCAGGCACTAAAAATGTTTATTGCACTAACAGATGACTACAGATGGTGTAGGTTCTCACTTCCTGTTTCTAGGTAATTCTCTGCCTCATTTACTCTGAAGTCACATAGGGCCAGGATAGGAAGTGAGCTTGCTGTGATGCTTGGGCACCAGCTGACACATCATCCTTTTCATGATTCTCTTTTTCCGATGAAGGTTGGAAACTTTCATTCTAGAAGGGTCCTCAGCTGAGGGATTGTGACTTTAGGGGGTAGGGAGGCCACTTGGGAAGCCAGAATTCACTGTGGATTAATTGCTTATCAATTTCTGGGTTAGATTTTTCAGTTCTGAGGGGTTCATGAGAGCAACCTAAGAATCGGTCCTGCTGAGGTCCAGGAGACAGTGCCGGGCCTGGTTGTGGCAGGAAGCTCCAGGAGAGGAAAGTGGACAGGCTGCTGATACAGTCTTGCATTGCAGCAGTGCTTGCCCTTTGTGGGTGGCACAAGTCCTGAAGCCAGCACGTATTTCTGTGGCTCTGGGACAAGGGGGACAGACTTTCCCCCAGCCATAGGATGGCGTGGTCTCAACAAGTATCAATAGTTCCAAAGTACCAAAGATTGGCTCTCAGTAGTTTGCCAAACACAAAGGCTTCACAGCAGCCCTAGGAAGCTGGCAGGTGGGAGCTGCTGTTCCCATTTAATTGACAAGGACATTCTGTCCAAGATCCTTCCCTGGTGGCTGCTTTACCAACCTTTATGCTGCCCCTCATCTTGAAAGTGGGAGAAGACATGACTGAAAGGGCGGGCTGCAGTACAAAGGACATAGGTGCATGGCTGGGAGATGGGACGCTCTGGCTCTGACGTCCTGCTCCCAAATCTGGTCAGCCAGGAGTCCTACATTCTGGCCCTTTCTGTAGCACTGGGACAAGAAAGCAGCATTTTCTTGGCAGCCCCAGCTTCCAAGGTAGCTGCTGTCCACCCCCAGTTGACTTTCTAAAGAGCCACAGAGCCACTTAGGTGGAAGAAAGAAAGCTGGGAAGGAAGGAGAAAAGGAAGGGAGAAAGAAAGGAAGAGAGAAGGAATAGAAAAAAGAAAGAAAAGAGAAAGAGAAAGAAATGAAGAATGAAAGGGAGAACAAACAAAAGAAAAGTAGGAAAGAAAAAAGAAGAAAGGGAGGAGGAATGGAGGGATGCATGAATAAAGGGAGAAAGAAAGAAAAGAGAAAGAGAAAGGAAGAAAGAAAGCTCTTTGTGATAGAAGGCCATTCCCTAGAAGAGATCTCAAGAGGAAATTGGCTGTCAAATAGTTTCAAGGAAATGACATTTGGACAACCAGCAAATGAGGGTTTCCTCCCACTTCCTGCCATCCATCTCCATTTCCCTCTGTTCAATCTCTCACCTCCCTCCAGTGGTTCGTTCCTCTGACAAATAGCATCTCTCCCATGCTCCCTTCTACTCTCTTCTGGGGTCAGCTGAGCACTGCTTCCTTGATGATGCTACATTAGGAAATCGTCACAACCCCAAATCTCGGATGCTTCCAATTCCCCTATACCTGTCCCAGAACCTGGCCTGGGACATGACTTCACTGGTAGTCAGCAGGGAGGCCAGCAGCTAAGCTGACCAAGGTAAGCATGCAGAGCTGAGTCCTCTTACTCCAGGACTCACTCTGGAGGTCCCCGCCCTCAACTCATCATTCATGTGTGACTCTGGAGGAGGAGGCTTATCCTGTCTGGGCCTCCATTTTTCATCCGAGGCAACATGGGGTGAAAAATCTCTTTCTGTGGTATCAGCACTCCTTGCCCATGGATGGGTACAAACAGCTTGCATGGATGTGAAGAACTAAGACACCATGTGCAGACAGACACCATCCTGCTGACTTGGCCCTAAGATGCAGGCAAGACCTGCCAGCCACAAGTCTCCCAGCCAGCCAGGCAGACGCACTGGGGCTGGGGGGCTTGCGGAGGGTGGAGGGAAGAACATCAGTTCCAGGGCAGGAGCAAGCGGAGGAGACTCAGGTGAGTCACTTGAGGCTAGCCATCAGCTTTTCCAGCCTCAATTTCCCTGTGTCTGGTGACAAAACATGTCCACATCAAGCAGATCCACAATCCCTTCTTTTAAGGTAACAGAGAAGAGACAGCTGCAAGTCCCACTGTGGAGTCATGGTTATCAAGGACCTTGCTCATCCCTCTGCAACTCTGTGAAGGCAGAGCCTCCCAGAGCCCCACAGCCCACATGTCCAAAGAGCTTTCATCACTGAACCCCTACTGTGTGTTGTGCATTGCCCTAGGGACTCCCATATGACCCATTTGACCTCATGACCACTCCTTGGGGAAAGTCTTAAAATTGCCACTGTACAAATGAGGAAAGAGAGGCTCAAAAAGCTAAGGAGTTTGTCCAAAGTTACACAGCAAATGAATGGCAGAGCTGGGACTAAAATCTGACCTTGGGACTCCCAAGTCCACTGCACCATTGAGGTGTCATTGCTTTAGAACCCATGTGAGTGAACAGATAATAGTAACAATAGCACTTACTGTCTTCAGGCCCTGTGCTAAATACTTCACAGGCCTTATCTCATTCAATACTCATAACACCTTAGTTCAGAGAGAGAAATTAACATCTCTGTTTTATAGACAAGGGAACTGAGAGAAGTTTGTCCAATGTCACACAGCAAATAACTTGGCAGAGCTACCAAGGTCAAATCACTTGTAAGTAGTGGAGTCAGGTTCAAACTAGGGTATGTAAAGAACTTCAGTTTGGGGAATGAGGACCTCAAGCCTTGCACCAACGTGGAGAATGATTACGCTCCTCCAGAAGCTGAGCAAAGTCCAAATGCCAGCCTCAGTGAACCTGGGCCAGGGCTGGGTTGGTGAAGGAGGGAGCAAGTAAAACTGGACCCCATTCTCAACAAGTCTGTTGGTTTATCTTTCTCAGGTTACTTCCTCTAATCTTTTATCAGTCTTAAGAACTGTAGTGTCAACATGTTATCTTAAATCATTATTGTACAGTGACCATGTCATTGGTGTATCCCCAGGGCCCAGCACAGTGCCTAGCATCTGGTAACACATATTTGTCAAAAGAACAAAGTATTCTCTAATGGCCTAATTCAACTCAACCATCATTAACTGGGTACCCATTATGTGCTAGGTACCATTGATCCAGAGGTGACTGAGCATGGGTGCCACCTGGAGGAAGTCTCGGTCTAGGGTGGGGACAGAATGTAACCATCGGTACCACCTTACACACTTCAAAAAGTACTGTGGAGAATGAATGGATGGCAAACGACTTATCGGAGCCAGCACTGAGGAATGAGCCAAGTCCAGTGGGAACACAAGAAAAGGACCCTTTGCTCTGCTGGGAGAGTCACAGAAGGCTTTGCTGGTGGAGGATGAGATGTGATTTCAGCCTGAAATGAGGAGTTTGTCTTCAGCCATGTGGAGAAAGGAGCATTCCAAGCAGAGGGACCAGTCTGAGCAAAGGCATTCAGGTGTAAAATTATTGCCTAGGACTGGAGTGAGGGATATGTAGTGCAACTGACAAGAGACTCCTCTTCAAGAGCAGGCCACATATCCTTTATTTCCCAGGGGGTGGAAATGGGCAGCCTCACAGAGGAATTGAATCATAATGAATTGAAGAAAGAAAAAGCCCCTGAAGTTGGCATTATAATTAATAGGTTTAGGCTCAGGCTCATCCTACTAGTCCTCACTTAGATTCATTCTCATATAGAAACAAAACGTGATTAATCACCTCAGTAAGTGCAATTTCCGAAAACATCCAGGGAAATCTAGGGTCCAGGTGCAGGACCTTTCCAATCTGAGCTGGATTTTGCCTCCAGGAGAGAGCATGGGTACCAGCCAGCATTTTCATCATCTAAGGGTCAGGTGCCCTGAAGTGTCTGCTGGCACCCAGGGAACAGCCCCCCAGCTTGCTGTCGTAGGACACAGCTGCTCCCTTCCTGGTCAGGTAGCTGGCATCCCTCCCATAATGGGACTTGAGGCTGGGCGGGCTGCTTGGGGACTGCAGAGGAAGAAGGGGGCTGCCAGCAAACCTGCTGACTCAGGCTCCACGAGGGAGCAAGTAACACTGGACTCCTTTCGGCACTCCGAGAATGGGGTGGGGGCGTCTTCAAAGGATTTTCCTCCCTTCCCAGTGCTTGTCCCTGCTCTCGGTCCGTTTTCTGCTAAGATTTGGGGATTTTCAGGCCTGGAGGGAAAGTCCCTTGGGAAGATCATAGAAAGAGCGCTAGCACCGGATCAGTCTGGAGAGCGCGGAAGGAAAGGGTCGGTCCGCAGAGGGCGCGGGGAAGGCGGGGTGGGGACGCGGTGGAGCCCGCGCTCCTTTGCTGAAGGCTTGGAAGTGCAGCGCAGAAGACAGAGGGTGACTGGGAAGACGCGCGAGCGGGGCCGGCCGGCCGGCGGGTGGGGGAGGGGGAGGCGGGGGAGGCGGCTGAGTGGGCCTCTGGAGTGTGTGTGTCTGTGTCAGTGCGCGCGCGTGTGTGTGTGTGTGTGTGTGTGTATGTGTGTGTCTGGCGCCTGGCCAGGGTGATTTCCCATAAACCACATGCCCCCACAGCCTCTCTTAAAAGGCTGTGCCGAGGGCTGGCCAGTGAGGCTCGGCCCGGGGAAAGTGAAAGTTTGTCTGGGTCCTCTCGGCGCCAGAGCCGCTCTCCGCATCCCGGGACAGCGGCGCGGCCCTCGGCCGGGGCGCCCACTCCGCAGCGGCCAGCGAGCGAGCGAGTAAGCGAGGGCGGCCGACGCGCCCGGCCGGGACCCAGCTGCCCGTATGACCGCGCCGGGCGCCGCCGGGCGCTGCCCTCCCACGGTAAGCGGCGGCCGCAGCGCGGGGCCCGGGACAGGCTGGGACGGGGGCTCGGCGGCCAGGCGGCCGGGCGGCCGGGAGCTGCCAGTCGGAGCCGACAGCCTGGGCGCGCAGGCTGCACTGGCCTGGCGTTCCCGCCGCGGACCAACCGCCTTTGCGCACCGACTGGGCCCCTGGCGCCAGGGCGGAGGCCGGTGGCGGCCCTGCAGCTGCACCCCGACTGCCAGGCTTCCCTGGGAAACGGAGGGCTGCTCACCCCATTGCACGGAGGGGAACACTGAGCCACCTGCAGGCACGAGCCCCCGCTCAGCCAGGGTGCCCTGCCTCTCTCCGTACCCGCCACCACCAAGGCACGGGCAGAGTGGCTGTGCGCTGTGTGCCCTCCCCCGTGGGCACCTTCCTCATCGGCCACACACGTGCTTCCAAGGCCCTGCAGGGGAATGGGCGCTTCTGGGCAGGGAAAGTTCAGGGGGTCAACCAGATTATAGAACGCCAGGGCCTTGCTGGCAGAGGGACGGAGAGGGGCAAGCCACTGCTTGTTCCAGCCCACAGGCAGGAGCTGCGGAGGACTTGGGTGGCTGTTTGGGGGGGGCGGGGGCAGGGGACGTGGGGTGGGGGGACGGCAACAGCCCCTCGCTGGGGCTGCTTGGGGCTAGCTCAGAATCTCTTTTTCTTGCAAATTCTGGTTTCATCGGTTGGGGAGATTCTGGGCTTTGTGGTGGTTTATGGTGGTTTGCAGTGCTTGAGGAAAATGGAAAGAGGGTTTGGTGTTGCAGAGCTGTGTCCAGGGGCAGGGTCTGCTCCTGACTGTGCAGGGGATGCCCTTCCCTAACTGTGGCAGTAGCAGATGCAGCCGTAGAAAGTGAGCGCGGCACTGTTCATGACCAGTCAGTGGGCTCATAATGGGTTTGCTTCTGAGGAGTCCTAGAAGAAAATGAGAGGGGAAACCTGGGGGGGAAAGAGCAGAAAATTATTTGGGGGTAGAGGAGAGAGGGTTGCAGGTGAGGTGAGAGAGAAAGGGAAGAGTGGGTCCACAGAAAGAAAGTGCCCCACTGAGAGAGAGGAGATAGGGTTGAGAGGGGAAGGGAGAAGGACTAGCCATAGGCAGGAAAGCAAAGCTTCAGGGCTGAAGGGGAGACCATGAGGAAAGAAGAGGAAGACAAGGGGGCTGTGTTTAGACAGGGGAAATCCAAGGGCCCGGTTCTGCCAGGTCTCTCCAGAGGCCTTGTTGAGGGGGAAGATGAAATGGAATAGGATAGGTGGCAGAGGAGGCTGGACAGCTGGACAGAGGTGTCCTGGCATCTCTGAGCCTGCAGCAGAGATTCCTTCTGAGGGCTGCTCCCCAGGCAGAAGCCAGGGCTGGGAGTGGGAGGAAGAGGCAGTCAGAGGAGAGCCTGCCCAGCCAGATGCAAGCCAGAGTGTTAACCCCCCACTGTCTGTCCAGATCCTCCTCAGGCAGAATGGAGGCCCCAGGTCCAGGGGTATCCCCTTTGGCCACCTTCGAAGTCAGCCTCTCATGTGGTGGCTGCACTCTCCCCACACTGATGCCTGAAATATCACCAAAGCCAGACAGCCCTTGGGGTTAAGCATTGCTCCCACCTTGCTCTCCTCCAGGGAGGTTGTCATCCTGAGCGGTCCCTTTCATACGCACCATTCACTCCAGACCTTGAGTGGCAGCCAGCCTGGGGTAGATACACCGTCTAGTGGCCCAGTTTCCTCCAATCATTCTTGAACCTAAGGTTCCTGAGAACCTGGGCCATTGTTCCCACCCAGGGCAACCTCCCCAACAGAGCTTGAAGTCCCCCCAGCCCCCATGACTGTTGTCACGTGCGCTGAGTGTGTGCCCTCCCTCGTGGGCACCTTCCTCATTGGCCACACATGTGCTTCCAAGGCAGCCTCTTCCACACTTTCCCTCCCTCAGATCGGCCAGGACCCTCACCGTCCCTGTGCTGAGTGGTATTAAACTGTCCTCTGCCTCTTCCTTGCATGCCTCCCACCCCTCTCCTGCCATCAGCTTCTCCCCATCTTTCAAGGGCTCACTGAGGTCCCTCCTCTCTGTAGTCTCCCTGGTCACCCAGCCAGAGCTGCCTTCTCCTCCCCATAAGAGCTGGCAAGCATTTGGGCTTTTGGTGATATGTAGATTAGCACATTGTTGTGGGCTGTTTCATAGCCTCCTTGTGTTTTTCCAGTGAGCAACTTATTTGCAGTATTTGTCTCAACATCTGGATTACTGAGGCAAAACCCAGAGTCCAGGATAGTGTCAACCCTCACCCTACCCTGCCAGCATTTCCCTGAATCTGGGGGCATCAGCTGCCAGGAGGCTTAGGAGCTCTCAGGAGGTGACCTCAAGCTGGAGAAAGAAAGCCCAAGAGTCCCTCTGCTTTTGGCTGAAGAAGGAGAGACCTAGGGCCAAGTGTAGGGATGAGGAGACCTCAGTGAAGAGAAGGAAGAGAGGAAGAGGAAAGACAGGGCATCAGGAGCCAGTCCCATCACTCTGGTGCTGAGCAGCTCCTGGGCCAGGTGGGTGCTGGGAGAGAAGAGGGGTCTCAGAAAAAACTTCTCTGCCATGATAAGAGGTGGCTGGCTGGAGGCAAAGCCTGATGGTGCTCAAATAGGCAGGTGGCAGGCAAGAGATGGCCCGTTACTGGCACTGGTGCCTCTGATTAATCAGTTGGGCTCCTTTTGAAACACATACCCAGGGCTCCAAGAGGTCTCTGGCAAGGGATGAGTTCCAGTGAAACTGAGTTTGATCCCACAGTCTTTCCAGTGGCAGAGCCAGATCTGCATTGAACCAGGTGGGAGGAAGTGCTGGGCCCAGGGGAGGTGTCTCTGGCTTGCCATCTGAAAGCCGGTGCATGAACGTGAACTTGAGGGCAGTTCAAAAAGTGCTTGGCTCAGTGTTGATGTTACAGAGACAGAAAAAATGGGTAGATGCAAGTCCTGCCCTCGAGTTTCCTGTGTCATTAAAATTTAGACTGGTAGGCACACCATCTGTGTCACTATTAGTTCAATGTGTAGTTAGGTTTGGCTTAATCTGGGAAGGCTTCTTGTAGGTGACATTTGGGTTGTTTTCATGGTAGAACAAGGTTGTGCTGTGGCTGCTAGAAATCCTGGGAAAGCTGGATTTGAGGGATGCTGTATCCTGAGGTAAGGGGCAGAGCCTGTAGCATTGTAGGTTTGAGGCCTTTGTTTTTCTGCTGTGAGCAGGGCATGGGGATAACTGGGGAGAGTGAGGGCTGGGGAGAAATGACACCCTCTCTGTCACAGACATGGCTGGGCTCCCTGCTGTTGCTGGTCTGTCTCCTGGCGAGCAGGAGTATCACCGAGGAGGTGTCGGAGTACTGTAGCCACATGATTGGGAGTGGACACCTGCAGTCTCTGCAGCGGCTGGTGAGTGCGTGGCCGTGCTGTATTCTACCTTCTCTCCACTGGGGAAATGGAGGCAGGAGCCAGGGAGCAGGTCAAAGAGAGCAGTTGCAGGCAGGAAAATAGGGCAGTGCAGGACATTGCTTGTGGTTCCCACTAGCTCCACCAGTGATATCTTCACTAGCCTTCCCGAAGTTAGGACCTCTGGTCTCCCCAGCTCTGAAGCCCTCTCTGACTCCCCTGCAGGCAGTGGATGGGGTGGGCTTCCAGCTGCTTGCCTGGGTTAGTGATTGCCCAGGAATATCAACCACTGATTCTGAAAAGGCTTCTGAGGTCTGCTGTCCCTCAGTGGGATGCCTCCTCTGGGAAGCTAGCCCAGGCAGCCTGCTGTGTCCAGATGTTGCGTCTAGCTCCTGGACTCTCATGTGTGGCGCCAGTCTGGCATCAGAGCCCCACCCAGATTTGGAGGGGAAGTGCTCACTTAACTCCCAGCCTTCCACCCTCACTTCCCTGGCTCTTGCCCATACCCTGAGGCTGGGATGGCCCGCTCGTCTAGGCCATGAAGGAGCCCGTATCTCATTCTAATCAGGCCCATACGTGGTCCAGCCAGGCAGAATCAGGTTGCTGTCATGGCTGCCGTCCTGCTCACTGGGAATTTACCATCCCTCTGGCCAGCTAGGCAGGGTGGGGCCTCACTGGCTAAGGCCAGCTCCAGGGCCCTGAGCTTGGGGCCTGTGGGCTGTGCCTTCCACCTCTCTTGCCCTAGCACTACTTCGCCTGCATGTAGTTGCTGTAGCAATCCAAGGTAGACCAAGAGCCCCAGCATTCTCTGAGGCTTAAAACCCAGAACTGCTGCTCTGGGGCTAAAGACGGCTTTAAGGGCATCCAGCTCCAACGCCTACAGATGTTCAGTCCCCAGAGCTTGTCCAGCCTCTGCTTGAATTCCTGCCATGACAGGGTGCTCACTACCTCCCAGGGAAGATTATATCCTATATTCTCCTATAGACATTTCTTTCTTAAAACAAATGGGCATTTGTCAGATTTCCTGGGGTGGCAGATGGAAGGAAAAGACTTGTTCTTCTACAGCCTTCCCCTGGGCATATGGAAGGCACTGATCTTCTCCTAGACTTGACTGTCTTTCCACATGTGGTTGGCAGGGATGAAGTTCAAACCCCAATGTATTCAGAAGTTAAGGTCCCCGTTCTGAAGAAGGCTGAGTTGAGCTGTAGGTTGCCCTGCAATCATTGGCCTGCTCTCTCTTACAGATTGACAGTCAGATGGAGACCTCGTGCCAAATTACCTTTGAGTTTGTAGACCAGGAACAGTTGGTGAGTGATAGCTGTTTACAAAATCCATGTACCAGTCTGCATGCAACTCCCAGGGTGGGGTGTGTGTGGGAGCATGAAGGCAGCAGAATGCCTACAGCTGGAAAGGTTGAGAGTGTGAGGATCCACGGGTGCTCAACTCTGGGGTGCCAGTATCCAGGGCTCAAGTCCCCTGCCATTCCCTTCTCCTGGCTTGATACATAACAAATGCTCACTAGGTACCAAGCACTTTGCTAATTTAGTTCTGACAGTACCACTATGTGGTACACAAATACTGTTTATTATCCACAGAGAGGTGAAAGGAGCATAGCTAGTAGGTGGTAGAGGCCTGATTTGAATCCAGGAAGGTTGGTTGTAGGGCTTGAGGCAAATCAATACTTCTTCCAGGTCACATGCTTCGCTTAAGGATGTCACTTCTCTTCACTAGGCCAACCAGCAGGCAGGGAGGCAGTCCAGCCCTTCCTGGACTTGCCCCACACGCAGCAAGCCACCAAGTGCTGCTGGTTCTGCCTCTCAGCATCTCTGGGTTCTGTCTCCTCCATCCCTACCTTCACCCCTCAATCAGTTGCTTGGACAATTTCAGGAGCCTCCTAACTGGTCTCCCTGCTTTTAGTTCACTCTTCATCTTACCACTAGGGGGAATTTTCTGAAACGCCAACCTGCTGCCTTTACCTCACTCTCCCAAAACCATCAGGGGCCCCATCACTCCAGAAGAAAGCCAAGGTTGTCTAGCCTGGGTTACACCAGGTCTAGCCATTCTCCACCACATAAACCTGTACACCGCCTCCCCATTCCCTGCTCCTTCCTGCCTCCCATCTTTGCACAAGCTCTTCCCAATGACTGTCATGCCTTTCCACCTGCTCCCCCAGTCACTATTCCACATCTGTTCATCTTTATGCCTCATGCAAAACTGCCATGGTATCCAGAAGTTGCCCCTGTCTCTGAGCTTCCACACACCAGACCCATATGCACCTCTGTTAGTACTGGAGACCACCTCATGGTCCAAAGAATAGCCTCAGTATTTTATAGCCTCACTGACTCGCTTGCTCTAGCATTCATGCCTGAACTAGCATTTGCTAGGAACCTACTGGACTAGATGCTGGGGGTAGGGAGCTAAAGCAGAGTGGGTCTTCAAGGCAACTACCATCTCTTTAGGGAGACAAAACACAGAGGTTATCCTTTGTACCATGAGATAGTCTTCACCCCCCCTATATCCTGGAGGATTTGAAGGGGCCATATGGTAAAAGATTTTTGTGAAAGGAAGCCAAGAGGAAGACAGAAAGAAAGGCAGGGGGAGGTTCCCTGGAGCCCACCTTCCCTATGTACATCCATCCTGATTAAAACCTCATATTCCAGAAACCCAGAGAACTCTCTAATCAGAATCCACATTTCCTTCACTCTAACCCAGTCTCCAATAGTGCTAGATCCCAAAGAGAGAGAAAGACAGGCAAGCTGAGGGCAGCTTTCTCCTCGTTGCTGGCATGGTGTGGTCCCTCCCCTGGGGGAAGGGGGAGAGCAAGCTGCAACCCTCCATCTGCCTGGGGTTGGGGGTTCCCAGGCCACAATGGCCAGGCTATAAGCCCCAGGTTCCTGTTTTTTCAGAAAGATCCGGTGTGCTACCTTAAGAAGGCATTTCTCCTGGTACAAGACATAATGGAGGACACCATGCGCTTCAGAGACAACACCCCCAATGCCATCGCCATTGTGCAGCTGCAGGAACTCTCTTTGAGGCTGAAGAGCTGCTTCACCAAGGATTATGAAGAGCATGACAAGGTAGGAAGCCCTGAGGCCGGGAGCACTGAGTGAGAGCAGAGGGCGGCTACAGAGGCGCCGCTTGGTCCACAGGCACAGAGGACGTTTGCTCACCTCGCCTCATGCCGTTGCTTACTCACTCTCATTCATTTGTCATCCCACCAACCTTTACCAGGCAGGAGGCACGAGGGATCATGCTGGGCCCTGACGATGTCATCATGAGCAACAAATACATGGTCCCACCCCATGCAGCTTATAGTCAAGTGAGCTTGGCAGCTGTTAAACAAACCATGACACCAGTCAATAGAATTACAAACTATAAGGACTGTTCATTCCAACAGCAAGCAGTTTTTGTGTGTCTCTTGTGTACCAGATACTGTTCTAGACACCAGGAAACAGCTGTGATCAAAACAGACAAAAATCCCCACATTCCTGGAACTTACATTTGGGGGTGGTGGTAGTGGTGGTGAGACAGTTAACAAAATATGTATGTAAAATATACAGTATGTAGCATGGCAATAACAGCATTGGAGAAGAGTAAACCAGGGATGAGACGACCCGAAGGAGGTGGAGGAGTGAGCTGGGAACAAGAACCGTGAAGGGCTCAGGGAGAGCAACAGGGAACTCAGACTTCCATGGAGTTGGGAAGGCAGAGACAAGGAAGGCTTCTGAGTAAGCAAATATTGATTTGAGCTCCAAAGATGAGTAAGAGTTGAAAGTGGTAAGGCTAGAAGAACATTCTGGAACAGGAAAAGCTATGCACAAAGCCCTAAGGTAAACAAACAGGAAAGTGCACATTCAGGGACCCAAAGGGTTATAAGCATGGCCAGAGCATGGGAAGTGCAGGAGGGAGAGGAGAGAAGGCAGAAGCCAGATCATGTGTGATTTTAGAGATGTGGGATTTTGTCTTAAGGGTGAGGGAAGCTGTCATGAACAGGATGTGGCTTACTCTCAGGTTATAAGACTGACCTGGTTGCTGTGTGGAGGATAAACCACGGGGCAGGAATGGAGGCTGGGACACCAGCAGAAGGTGCGAGTCCAGGCTAGACGCTTGGACCAGGTGGTACAGTGAAGGTGGAGGCAAGTGGACTGGACATTTTCCCATGAGCTTGGGGGCCAGAATCAACAAGACTTGGTATGTGCAGTGGATGCGAGAAGCTGAGGGAAAGGAAAAGCCAAGGATGGTTTTTGTCTTGAGCACCTGGATATTCCAATGATGCTGAAATGGGGATGATCCATGGGCAGAGCAGGTTTGAGGGAAGACAGTTCAGTCTGGGGCACAGCAGACGTGAGGTGCTCATGAAATGGTGAGTGGAGACATTGAGCAGGCAGCTGGGTGTGCGGGTCTTCAGTGTGACCGGCAATGCACAGATCTATGAGGCATGGGGGTTCGGCTTATCTGTGAAGCCATGGGACTGGACAGCACAGACACTGTGAGAAGAGAAGCAGGCCCAGGAACCCAGCATTTGGAGGGCAAGCAGAGGACAGCGGACCTGGCAAGGGGGAGCCTGAAGGTGGGAGGAAAAGAGGGAGAGTGCAGAGTCAAGGCACTAGGTTCCAAGATGGAAAAAGGGATGGAATTTCATAAAAGAGGGTTGAGAAATCAAGCAAGGGGAGGGCTAAAATTATCCATTGGATTTGGCAACGTGTCACAGGTGCGGGATCAGGGTGAATAGAAAGGAAGTAGAGACACCACTGTGGAAGAACTTGGATCCGAATGGGGGCAGGAAAAGAGATATAGCTGGAGGGAGTGTGTGATTGAGGAGGACTTTTTGTTCTGTTTTTGTTGTCATTGTTGTTTTGAGACAGGGTCTTACTCTGTCACCCAGGCTGAAGTTCAGCAGTGCAATCACGGCTCACTGCAGCCCCAACCTCCCAGGCTCAATTGATCCTCTGACTTCAGTCTCCTGAGTAGCTGGGACAACAGGCATACCCCACTATGCCCAGCTATTTTTTGTAGAGACAGGGTTTCACCATGTTGCCCAGGCTGGTCTCAAACTCCCAGGCTCAAGCGATCTGTCTGCCTTGGCCTCCCAGAGTGCTGGGATTACAAATGTGAGTTACTGTGCCTGGCCAGGAAAACATTTTCAATAAGACAGGTACTAAATCTGTGATTTTCTAACATTAAGATTCCTGAGAATCACTTGGGAATATGTTGAAAATGCATATTCCCAGACACACCCCTAGACAGTCTGATATACTGGGTTTAAGAGTGGCTCCAGGGCCGGGCATGGTGGCTCATGCCTCTAATCCTGGCACTTTGGGAGGCCGAGGCAGGTGGATCACCTGAGGTCAGGAGTTCAAGACCAGCCTGCCCAACAGGGTGAAACCCCATCTCTACTAAAAATACAAAAATTAGCAGGGGCTGGTGGCGTATGCCTGTAATCCCAGCTACTCGGGAGGCTGAGGCAGGAGAATCGCTTGAACCAGGGTGGCAGAGGTTGCAGTGAGCCAAGATCAAAACTTCATCTAAAAAAAAAAAGTGACCCCAGGAATCTGCATCTTAAGCAGCTGTCCCACTGATGATTCTGACCCCCTTGGATGTTCACCCATAGACGGGTGTGAATGCTGTGGGGCAGGCTTCAGGAGAGAGGGTGGGTGAAGCTGGAGGAGCTAGTTCCCATCAAGTCTCCGGAGAAGACAGTGGGAGGTATTCGGAGCTCCTGAGGGAACTCAGAGTGAGACTCCATCAAAAAAAAAAGTTGGGCATAGTGGGGTGTGCCCAACTCTAGCCATCTCAGCTCACTGCAACCTCTGCTTCCCGGGTTCAAGCGATTCTCCTGCCTCAGCCTCCCGAGTAGCTGGGATTTCAGGCACGTGCCATCATGCCAGGCTAATTTTTGTCTTTTTAGCTGGGATTACAGGCACGTGCCACCATGCCCGGCTAATTTTTTTCTTTTTAGTAAAGACAAGGTTTCACCATGTTGGTCAGGCTGATCTCGAACTCCTGACCTCGTGATCAGCCTGCCTCAAACTCCCAAAGTGCCAGGATTAGAGGCATGAGCCACCGCGCCCGGCCTATCTGGTAAACAGTTCTTAAGAGCTGACTGTGCACAGGCCAGGGGGATGCAGCGATGCCTTCAAGGACTTCACAGCTTAGAAAAGCCCATGGTTCTTCCCTGTGAAGCTCAGTTTAAGGAAAAACTTGGTATTTGTGAGTCAGTGGCAGTTAGGCCCTGGATGAAGCTGTGGGCATGCATGGCATGGCCTTGTGTGAAAGGAGAGGTGGGCCCAGGAGTGAACCCTGAGGGATAGCAGCATTTGGACATCAGGAGGAGAAGGGGAGCTTGGTAAGGAGACAGAAGGAGCAGCTTGAGAGGTGGGAGAAGACTCAGGATGATGCAGCTTCTCAGAGTTCTAGTAGGTGTAGGAAGCCGGGGCCCCTTGGGCAGCACAGAAGACAGGCTGGGACCTCCTCAGCCCTCCCGCCAAGACACACCAACGCCAGCAAAGGACCCACAGGCCTGGCGGCTGCCTCGTTCCCTTCTCCACACTGCAGCTCGATGATTTTTCTCAAACTGAACGCTTACCATGCCACCGCCCACCCATAACACCCCTTCAGATGTTTTCCCTTTGCTCTGTGGACAAAACTAAAAGTTCTGGGCTTGGCCCACAAGGCCCTCAAGACCTGGCGCTTGCTAACCTCTCTCCTTTTGCATCTCTTGCCATGCTCCTCCTAGATGGTAGTGCTGCAGCCACGCCAGCCTTCTTTTAGTCTTTGGACCTTTCATGCATTTTCTTGCCTCAGGACCTTTGCACAGTCTGTTCTTGCAGCCTGGACAGCTCTCTGGAATCCCATCTCTTTCCTGGTTAACTCTTGCTCATCTTTTAGTTGATTCCTTGGGGAAATTCTCCCTGAACACTTGTTTTGTTTCCCTTGTTGCACACCATCGGATGACCCAGTACTTCTTCATAGGACTCATTGCACTTGTAACAATGTGTTTAGTCCCTGCTGGACTCAGTGTCCAACTCAGCCAGGAACCACCTCTCTCTTGTTCATTGCGTGATTCCCAGATAATTACCATATGCCTGGCACATAAACATGTGTTGAATGGGTTGGTGAATAAATGACATATCTCATAACCTCAGGACTCATTCTGCTGCAAACCAGGGGAAAGGGGAGGGAGGAAACAAAAGGGAAAAAGAAGACAGATGTGAGAAAGGCCAAGGGAATTTGACAAACAAGACGGAGACATGGGGCCAATGGTCATGCTCACAAAAGGGGGCCCTGATCTCCTTCCAGGCCTGCGTCCGAACTTTCTATGAGACACCTCTCCAGTTGCTGGAGAAGGTCAAGAATGTCTTTAATGAAACAAAGAATCTTCTTGACAAGGACTGGAATATTTTCAGCAAGAACTGCAACAACAGCTTTGCTGAATGCTCCGGCCAAGGTAAGCATGGCAGGGGCCAGGAAGTGTGTGGGGGTGGTGGCATATGGAACGGGGATTGGGAGGTGAGATGTGAAGCTGGGGGGACCCCTGGGGAGGCAGCCTGGCTGCTACTTGTGTTCCTGTATGCATGAATGTGCTTGTTCCGTGTACATATGTGGCTTCACGTGCCTCTGGTCCTGGGCACATGTCTTTTCTGATATGTGTGTGCATGCACACCTACTTCTATCTGCATGTGGCAGCGTCAAGAAGGATCATGCTGGTGCCTTGGGATTAGAGAGTGGAAATGGGAGCCTGTCTTGGGAGCCCTGTAGGTATGGAAGCTTTCCCCACTGGCTCTGCAGGCTGACTGAACATGTGGGGGGTTCTGTGGAGACAGCTGACACCCATCTGGGAGTCAGGGCCCTTGCTCCAGGAGCTCTGCTGCGAATCACCATGATACCCTGGCTCCCGAAGTCCCCAGGATGCCTTGGGCGTTCCCTCAAGGGACAAGGCTGGATTTGAAGTCTGAGCATCATTGGAACTCCCAGGGCTGGCTCAGCTGCATACATGTGTACACTGCGTGTCCTCGTCTCTGCGTCTCGTGCCACACATGCCCTCCTACATTCAACCTTGCTTCCCAAGGCAGGGTCTAGGGCCCTGCAACCTGCCAGTGGCCAAGTCTGGTCTCGTTGCTTCAATCCCAAGGCTTCAAGACTTGGCTGCATTCTAGCCCCAGCTTGTTCCTGCCTGGGGCTGTGGCTGTGGCTGTGTGGCTCCTGGCTATGCATGAAACCAGTGTCTTTGGGGCTTGAAGTTGTCTTGTGTTGGTCTGGAAGGCAACTGTTCAACCTCCTGACCTGCTGCTGCTCACCCCTAACTTGGCCTGTGGCCAGTGGGTACCCTGCATGGGCTGTTCTCTTATCTTCCTTCTTCCCTACCCCCAGTGTGTACATCTCAACCCTGTTCTTTGTCACTGCCCATAAGACCCTGCATATGGCACCTTCCCTGTGTCATGAGCACCCACTCTAGTCCCATCCTCTTCTCAGCTCCAGGGCTGAGCTAGGAGATGAGGGCCCCCCAGACTCATATTCCCCTCTTGCCCCGCTCTAGGAAAGCTGTGCTGGAGGCTAGTGACTCTATCTCCTCCCCATCTTTCTCTCTCCCTCTCTCTATGGTTCTTTCAGATGTGGTGACCAAGCCTGATTGCAACTGCCTGTACCCCAAAGCCATCCCTAGCAGTGACCCGGCCTCTGTCTCCCCTCATCAACCCCTCGCCCCCTCCATGGCCCCTATGGCTGGCTTGACCTGGGATGACTCTGAGGGAACTGAGGGAAGCTCCCTCTTGCCTGGTGAGCAGCCCCTGCGCACAGTGGATCCAGGCAGTGCCAAGCAGCGACCACCCAGGAGCACCTGCCAGAGCCTTGAGCCGCCAGAGACCCCGGTTGTCAAGGACAGCACCATCGGTGGCTCACCGCAGCCTCGCCCCTCTGTCAGGGCCTTCAACACCGGGATGGAGGATATTCTTGATTCGGCAATGGGCACTAACTGGGCCCCAGAAGAAGCCTCTGGAGAGGCCAGTGAGATTCCTGTGTCCCAAGGGACAGAGCTTTACCCCTCCAGGCCAGGAGGGGGCAGCATGCAGACAGAGCCCGCCAAACCCAGCAACTTCCTCTCAGCATCTTCTCCACTCCCTGCATCAGCAAAGGGCCAACAGCTGGCAGATGTAACTGGTACCACTTTGCCCAGGGTGGGCCCCATGAGGCCCACTGGCCAGGACTGGAATCACACCCCCCAGAAGACAGACCATCCATCTGCCCTGCTGAGAGACCCCCCGGAGCCAGGCTCTCCCAGGACCTCACCACCACGCCCCCAAGGCCTCAGCAACCCCTCCACTCTCTCTGCTCAGCCACAGCTTTCCAGAAGCCACTCCTCGGGCAGCGTGCTGCCCCTTGGGGAGCTGGAGGGCAGGAGGAGCACCAGGGATCGGAGGAGCCCCGCAGAGCCGGAAGGAGGACCAGCAAGTGAAGGGGCAGCCGGGCCCCTGGCCCGTTTTAACTCCGTTCCTTTGACTGACACAGGCCATGAGAGGCAGCGCGAGGGATCCTCCAGCCCGCAGCTCCAGGAGTCTGTCTTCCACCTGCTGGTGCCCAGTGTCATCCTGGTCTTGCTGGCTGTCGGAGGCCTCTTGTTCTACAGGCGGAGGCGGCGGGTGAGCAGATCCCCATGAGGAAGAAGAGGGCGTCCCTTAGGGCAGGGGCAGAGCCTGGCGGGGGTGCAGGTGAGGGGGACAGCTTGGTTGTGGCCTGAGTTCTTCAGACGCAGAGAGATAGGGGCTGGCTCAGCACAGAGGATGAGAGGTGGAAATTGAGGATTGCTTCGAGAATGGGGAAGGCTCAAGCTATAAGGTCAATGGGAAGGGAGTGGAGCAGAAGGGAGCGGGAGAGAATATTCTTGGGCTGACAGCAGGATGACATCCAGACAGGCAGGGAGCTGGAGGAGGAGAGCAATGCTGTGTGAGTGTGTCAGGGCGGGCGTACACTGGGAGTTCTGCAGAGCCTGGGACAGGAGGACCGATAGGGAGCAGCCTGCAAGGGCGTGGGGAGAGGAGAGGGAACACCATCAGCAGAGAGACCTCACAAATCTCCCTTGGGCCTCTGGCTGATCCCCACTTTTGGGAAGCTGGAAGGACTCTTGCAACTCTCTCATAAATACCTGGGGCAGCCCTTACTGGGGATGGGGCCACCGTCCCCCCACCCTCCCCCGGCTCCTCAGTGAGATGCTCTTTCCTGTCCTCAGAGCCGTCAAGAGCCTCAGAGAGCGGATTCTCCCTTGGAGCAGCCAGAAGGCAGGTGAGAGCTTGAGGTGGGGCTCTGGGAGGCACTGGGGGCCTGGCTTGGGATCTGTTTCCCCTCTTCGTGGTGGTGGGGCTCTCCTGCTTGCTCTGAGGAAATGGAGCTGCGGAACAGGATGGGGTAGAGACGGTCTTCTCTCCTTTCCCAGATATCTGGGCTTTTTCCTCATTTCTCCGTAGAGTTAGACGGTTCTGGGATTTTTCAATCTGAGAGGGCCTAGAGCATGTGTGGGGCTTAGGGGTAAACTTACGGGGTCCCCTTACTCCCCTGCTCCTGCTGATGTCTAATGCCAGTGCTGTGCTCTGCCTACAGCCCCCTGACTCAGGATGAGGACAGACAGGTGGAACTGCCAGTGTAGAGGGAATTCTAAGGTAAGATTCTGATTTTGATCTCCACTCCTAAAACTTAGCTATACCCTTTTCCAGTCACCCTCACCTGTTGGTGACACCAATTCCCCTGAGACCCCCACACTGACTCCCTTGCCTCTCTCCAGTTCCCTTTCTATACATTGCCAGCCAGGTCCAGCCACCATCTCCTTTCCAGGTCCTCAGCTATCCCCCTGCCCCTCCATTCCATCCACCGCCACTGAGGCCAGGGACTATTACCTCTGCACTGGGCTTCTAGTGTTGCTGCCATCTTTGACCTCAGAGCAGCTAAACCCCCCTTCTTCGTATGTGGCCTTTATAAGGTCTTTACCCACCTGAAGAATCTTCAGTAGCTCTGTGTGGCAGCCACTGCAAGCCCTATATTCTTGGCTTGGCTGCCAAGACCCTCCAACAGCAGCTGCTTGCCAGATCGCCCCCACACCACCAGTTGACCCTCCTCCCCAGCCGAGGACAGTTCTGCTTCCTTGCTTTTAGGATCATGTTGACATAGAACCTGAGTCTTGGAAGGGCTCTCAGGGGTCATTTGGCCCTGGGTCACACCCCAAAGGGACTGCCCCTCTCCATGTCCCCAACAGGCAGCCAGCCAGCTGACTGTCACACACTCCCAGTTCCAAGCCAGCTCCCTGCCTAGCCACAGCCCGTGCCATCTTCCAGTCAGACTGGGAGAAATGTCTTCCTCATGCGAGGCAAAACTGGCTTCCCTGCCCCCTCCATACTGCTCCTCCCTCCTGTTCTCATGAAAGCCCTCAGATATTTCAAGTCAGGTATCCATGTCCCCTTTGAGAATTCTCTAAGCTAAGAATGGCCAAGTCCCTCAAACGTTCCTTATATGATATGGTTTTCAGACCCCTCACCATCCTGGACACACTCGTTTGTCAATGTCCCTCTGAAAATGTGGCGCCCAGCCCCGGACACAGTACTCCAGATGTCTGACCAGCTCAGAGAGAGTACAGTGGGACTGTTACCTTCCTTGATATGGACAGTATTCTTCTATTTGTGCAGATTAAGATTGCATTAGTTTTTTTCTTAACAACTGCATCATACTGTTGTCATATGTTGAGCTTGTGGTCTATTAAAACCCCTAGTTCCGTTTCCCATAAACCTCTGTCAAGCCAGACCATCTCTACCCTGTACTTGGACAACTTAACTTTTTTAACCAAAGTGCAGTTTATATTCACCTTTGCTAAAGCCACCTTGTTGGTTTCTGCCAATCACCTGAACCTATTGAAGTTGTTTGAAATCCTAATTCTGTCGTCTCTGTAGCCCTCTCTTTTGTGGCTCCTGCACATTGATGAGTGCCTGTTGTTGTCCTTGCCCATGTTGTTGATGTAGCTGTGACCCTATTGTTCCTCACCTCTGGCCCCCCCAATCCCAGCTGGCGCACGTCTTCCCCCTCCCACCCAAGCCCACAGCCAGCCCATCAGGAAGCCTTCCTGGCTTCCCTACAACCTTCTGACTGCTTCTTTCAGTCATGCCCCTCCTGCTCTTTTGTATTTGGCTAATAGTATATCAATTTGCACTTATTTGGATGTTGTTTTCATATTTTTTAAATCTTATTTTATATGTATGTGTACATTCCACATCCCTAAGATTGTAAGCCCCTTGAGGGCAGGAACTGTCTTCCACTTTTTTTGTGTTTCTTTTTCCATCCTGGGTTCTACTACAGAGAGGGCCTCTCCACATTTGCCAAACATGAAATAAATATTGACTGACTGGCTTCAGGGCTGACTCACGGACTGACCCTGGCCAGCTGTCTCTAACTGACCAGCCTCTAGCTGACCAGTTAACCAGCTAACTGACTGACTCTGACTGACTGGCTGACCAGCTGGCTGGGTGAATGACTAACCAACCAACTATCTTGGTAACTGGCCAGCTGTTGCTTGGGGAGCCCATTGAGCAACTGACTAGCTGATTTCCTGACTAATTGGCTGGTTGGCTGACTAGCTGGGGTGGCCGAGTCAAGTTTCCAGTCACACTCTTTACCAAGTGCAAGCTAGCGCTGCAGGGCTCTCCCATGTGTGGAGTGACAGGTCTGGGCCCTTTCTAGAGAGATAAGGAATTTGGCAAATGCTCAAAACCAGGGGAACCTATTTAGACAAGAGCCAGCAGTAACAACATATCTAGAATCCTGGGGTCTACCTTGTCAGTGGGGTGGGCTAAGATGGGCGAGTGGGTCAGCTGGGGAACTGGCAAGACTGTGAAATGACCCAGGCCTCCTCAGAACTGGTGGTGGCTGGTGGCTCAGTGCCACGACACCCTTCCCACTGGTCGCCTGTCCCCCAAACCCCTTGCCGTGGTCTTGGCCCTCTGTCCCATCCCTCTACGTGCCCACCCTCCTTTCCCCACTTGCTTATTCTCAGGCCCGTCCCAAGCTTTCATTTTCCTCCCTTCAAGATTTCACTTGGAGAGGGAACCTGGGGCAAGGGGCTACATCCAGATCCCACTTGGCCCAGCAGGTCCAGCCCTAAGGTGGTCTCCAGGCCAGGCACCAGTGGCCTTGGAGAGATTGAGTGCCAGCCCCTAGACTGACTGCTGCTCTGATGGAAGAAGTGAGAGAGGGAAACAGAGGCAGAGACTGAGATAGGGACTCAGAGCCACAGAAAATGCAGACACCAGCACCTCAGCCCTAAGCAGCTAGGAGATGGGGCAGCAGGCTAGAACTTGCCCACTGGGTCCTTCTCCCCTCCTGGGCCTTAGCTGGGCCTGTGGCCTGGCTGTACCCATCATGGCTCATGTCCAGTTTATGGTTCCCCTTCTTTCCCTCTAGAGCATGGGAATGGGCAAGGAGCCAGAGGCTGTGGTTCCATCTTCCCTCCTTACCCAGTAGGGCCTATGGATGTTAGGGAGGGAGGCTCCACACAAGGTCCAAAGTCAAACTGTTGGATGGGGTCCAGGGGATTTCTGCTCTGGGAACAAAGCGTCCTGAGGATGCTGGGCAAGGGACAAGGATGGGGGTGGAGCAGGAGAGGGCAAGGCCCTGACTCCCATGGATGATGCAGGAGGCAAGGCCCTCGGCCCATCCAGGAGGGGCTGGGTTGCTTAGGGGTCAGCATGCCAAATGGCAGTGTGGGAATTTCCTTGTCCCGGCACTACCTCTAGACTTTTCCTCTCTGGCCCAAGTTCTTCCTCTTCAGCTAGCTCTGCCCGACTGTCTTGAACATCATATGTGATGCCCCTCTGATGAATGCTGTGGAGGTGGAAATGAAAGATTCTTCTTTGCTAGTGTTAGCAGGAATCACCTTTTGTTCACTGGGCCAAGACCAATGAGATGACCTTGCCTGAGGAGGGGTCCAAAGACATTCAAGTGCCCGCTTCGCTCCTCATCAGAGCCCTCTGCTTGAGGAGTAACCCCTCTTCCCAGCCTTGCCCAGACCTCTCCTGGGCCCTGTTATCTTCCACTGAGGCCCTGATTCCCCAGGAGGAGATAGGAGGTGAGGCCAGTTTGGCCAGAGGCCTGGGCTGGTGCCAGAGAAAGCCGCCTGCTCTCTCTGTGGTGTCTGGAAAGGCTAGGGAAGGGAGGAAAGGAAGTCCCGCCTGCAACACCGCCAACAGCCCACAGGAATGCCACACCTCCCAACCCATGTCCTCAACGACCCTCCCCGCACTCCCACTCTGCTGACTAGCCTTTCCTTCTCTCCCACAGCTGGACGCACAGGACAGTCTCTCCGTGGGAGGAGACATTATGGGGCGTCCACCACCACCCCTCCCCGGCCATCCTCCTGGAATGTGGTCTGCCCTCCACCAGAGGACCGGACCAGAGCAGCCAGGCTAGGGCCCCTCTGTCTCAACCTGCAGACTGTTGACTGAGAGAGGCCAGAGGATGCTCCCCATGCTGCCACTATTTATTGTGAGCCCTGGAGGCTCCCATGTGCTTGAGGAAGGCCGGCGAGCCCGGCTCAGGACCCTCTTTCCTCAGGGGCTGCACCCTCCTCTCCCTCCCCTCCATGCCAGCACCCAGGCCAGGGACCCATCAGCCTGTGGTTTGTGGGAAAGTAGGGTGGACATTGAGGAGTGAAAGAACCCTGCACCCAGAGGGCCCGCCTGGTGCCAAGGGATCCCAGCCTGGACAGGCATGGACCTGTCTCCAGAGAGAGGAGCCTGAAGTTCACAGGGCGGGACGGCGTCGGCTTGATTTCCCGTAAAGGTGTCAGCCTGAGAGACGGGAAGAGGAGGCCTCTGGACCTGCTGGTCTGCACTGACAGCCTGAAGGGTCTACACCCTCGGCTCACCCAAGTGCCCTGTGCTGGTTGCCAGGCACAGAGGGGAGGCCAGCCCTGCCCTCAGGACCGGCCCGACCTGCCAGTGATGCCAAGAGGGGGATCAAGCACTGGCCTCTGCCTCTCCTCCTTCCAGCACCTGCCAGAGTTTTAGCGGGAGGCCAAGCAGAGGCTCCCCTCATGAAGGAAGCCATTGCACTGTGAACACTGTACCAGCCTGCTGAACAGCCTGCCCCCGTCCATCCATGAGCCAGCATCCATCCGTCCTCCACTCTCCAGCCTCTCCCCAGCCTCCTGCACTGAGCTGGCCTCACCAGTCGACTGAGGGAGCCCCTCAGCCCTGACCTTCTCCTGACCTGGCCTTTGACTCCCCGGGGTGGAGCGGGGTGGGAGAACCTCCTGGGCTGCCAGCCAGAGCCGGTCTTTAGGCTGTGTTGTTCGCCCAGGTTTCTGCATCTTGCACTTTGACATTCCCAAGAGGGAAGGAACTAGTGGGAGAGAGCCAGGGAGGGGAGGGCACAGACAGAGAGGCTGCAGGGCGAGCTCTGACTGAAGATGGGCCTTTGAAATATAGGTATGCCCCTGAGGTTGGGGGAGGGTCTGCACTCCCAAACCCCAGCCCAGTGTCCTTTCCCTGCTGCTGACAGGAACCTGGAGCTGAGCAGGTTATCCCTGTCAGGAGCCATGGGCTGGGCTGCATCTCAGCCCCACCTGCATGGCACCCAGCTCCCATCCACTTCTCACCCTTCTTTCCTCCTGACCTTGGTTGGCAGTGATAACCTCCATCTCTCACCCACCCGTCTACCATCACCTCTAACCAGGCAAGCCAGGGTGGAAGAGCAATCAGGAGAGCCAGGCCTCAGCTTCCAATGCTTGGAGGGCCTCCACTTTGTGGCCAGTCCGTGGTGGTGGCTCTGAGGCCTAGGTAACAGGCGACAGGGTTGCCAGTTGCCCCTGGGTTCCTTTGTGCTGCTGTGTGCCTCCTCTCCTGCTGCCCTGGGTCCTCCACTGAGAGACCCTACCCTGCCTGGCCACTGGGCCCGTGACTTTCTCTTCCTGCCCAGGAAAGTGAGGGTCTGCTGGCCCCACCTCCCCTGTCCTGATGCTGACAGCTAAGGGAAGGGCAGTGAACTTGCATATGGGGCTTAGCCTTCTAGTCACAGCCTCTATATTTGATGCTAGAAAACACATATTTTAAAATGGAAGAAAAAAAAAAACCAAAAAAAAAGGCATTCCCCCTTCATCCCCCTACCTTAAACATATAATATTTTAAAGGTCAAAAAAGCAATCCAACCCACTGCAGAAGCTCTTTGTGAGCACTTGGTGGCATCAGAGCAGGAGGAGCCCCAGAGCCGCCTCTGGTGTCCCCCCAGGCTACCTGCTCAGGAACCCCTTCTGTTCTCTGAGAAGTCGAGAGAGGACATTGGCTCACGCACTGTGAGATTTTGTTTTTATACTTGGAAGTGGTGAATTATTTTATATAAAGTCATTTAAATATCTATTTAAAAGATAGGAAGCTGCTTATATATTTAATAATAAAAGAAGTGCACAAGCTGCCATGTGAGTCGTGGGAAAGTTGCTTTTGGGGTGTGGGTGGCAAACATCAGGGTGGGTGGGCAGCAGTTGCTGGATGAACCCCAGCTCAGAGAACCTTTTTCCACAAAACACAGGGGAGGAAGGTTCTCTCCAAGTTTCAGTCTTGTTACCAAAACCTCCTGTATTTTTTTTTTTTTTTTTTTTTGAGACGGAGTCTCGCTCTGTCGCCCAGGCTGGAGTGCAGTGGCCAGATCTCAGCTCACTGCAACTTCCGCCTCCCAGGTTTATGCTATTCTCCTGCCTCAGCCTCCCGAGTAGCTGGGACTACAGGCGCCGGCCACCTCGCCGGGCTAGTTTTTTGTATTTTTTAGTAGAGACGGGGTTTCACCGTGTTCGCCAGGATGGTCTCGATCTCCTGACCTCGTGATCCGCCCGTCTTGGCCTCCCAAAGTGCTGGGATTACAGGCTTGAGCCAATGCGCCTGGCCGACCTCCTGTATTATTGCTGTCCCAAACACATTCATCTGCATATCTGGTCGTATTGGACAGAAAGTGGCCAAACCCCAGGCCTGGTCACCGGCCCCTGCTCCTGCCCAGCCTAGGAAAATGGCTGGTTGGGCTCTGTCCAAGGACCCCGGGGGCCTGTGAGGATAAGGCTTCTTGACCGTTGAGCCCTGCTGACCAGGGCAGAGGGAGCTGGCTAGGTCCTTGCAGGCTCTGAGATGAATGAGTCCTGTTTCCAGGCTGCGAAGTGAGTGTGTTTAGCGGGGGAGAGCCAGGAGTCTGTGTGAGGGCCCTCGTTCGGGCTTGACCTTCCTACTGGCGCTGGAGAGGAGACTGAGGGTGTGGCTTTCCATGGGGAGAGGGGTATTAGGCAGGGCCAGAGGAGTTGAAGGCCCAAACATACACCCTGGGCAAAGCTATGACAAGAGGGGCCTCTCAATCCCTGAGGGTGTGGTAGACAGCTTTGGATTAGTGGTTCCCAACGCTGGCTTCCAGGAGAATCACCTGGGTTGTTTTAAAAAAAAAAAAAAAAAATCTGATCCCCTGAGCCCCACCCTACATCAATGAAATCGAATCTTAGGGGCGCGGCTCAGGCACCAGGTGTCAAAACTTTTAAAAAGACATCTCAGGTGATTCCACTGTGATCCAGGATAAGAAGTATCTAGAGCTGCACTGTCAGGTAAGATGGCTATTTAAGTTTAAATTAATTAGAATGAAATAAGAGTAAACATTCAGTTCCTTAGCTATACTATCCACATTTCAAGGGCTTTGTAACTACATGTGGCTACCATGTTGGACAGCACAGAAATACAACATTTGCCTCATTCCAGAAATTCTACTGGACAGCACTACCCCAGAGATTAGGTCCTTGGACTTAGGGACCAAGGATACAGGGCCAAGATTGGCATCAAGCAAATTTGACCAGGGGCTAAGTGTTCAGGTGTCTCAGTCACCCCTTTCTGTGCCCTCACCCCTATCACCCTGTCCCTTATCGTTTCCCTTAAGATGGCTCTTCCCTTTCTATCAAAAGAGCTACAGAGAAGATTTTTGAAGAAACTTAACATTTTATTGTTCAAGGCCCCTCTGAGAAGCCTTCCCAGCCTGACTCGAGCTCCTGAGGCCTACCCAGGTTCAATTCCTTCCCCACCTGTGCTTCTCCAGATTTGGAATTTGGAGCCTGTTTGTCTGTCTGTCCCACCAGGCCATGGTCAGTGGCAGACACTGCTACATCCCTCCTTTTATTAAAGGGGGATGTGCACCTAGTGCCTTAGTGCCTAAGAGTATCTGGCACTCGGTAGGTGCTCGGTAATTGTGTGCCAAAGGTTAATACTGAAAGCATGAACAGAGGCATCATAATGCAAATTCTGACCAGATGTAATGGGTGGCCTTTTCTAGAGGCCTTATTGGTATTAGCAAATGAGAGTAGTATCTAATAACTACTGTTCAATGGCCACGCAGAAGGATCTTCAGCAGAGGAGTCTTCCTGGCTTCTGACAGAGATGGGGCTAGATTAGAGCCCTTCCTGATCACTGGGCGGTGGTGGATGGAATGTACACTTCAAAGCCTCTAAGCAAGGATTGGTGATGAGGGGAGCAAAAGATCTCTTCCCCTTAGCTGCCTTTCTGGAACCCCCAGAAAGAGCTGAGAATCTCAGCAGGCCTTTCCTGGGCTTCATGTGCTGCAGGGGCCGCTTGGGAAGCATCCTACCTATACAGCAATATTCGCTTTGAATTGAGAACCAGAGAACTGGCTGAGGGTGGTGGCTTACACCTGTAACCCCAGCGCTTTAGGGGGACTGAGGTGAGAGGATCACTTGAGCCCAGGAGTTTGAAATCAGCCTGAACAACATAATGAGACCCCATTTCTACAAACAAAAAACTAGCCAGATGCGGTGGCACACACCAGTAGTCCCAGCTACATGGGAGACTGAGGTTGGAGGATAGCCTGAGCCGGAAGGTTAAGTCTGCAGTCAACCCTGATCATATCACTGCACTTCAGCCTGGGAAATGAAGCAAGACCCTGTCTCAAAAACATCAAAACCCAAAAACCAACAGAACTTAGGTTCTTGACTTGAATCTCTCATTGGCTCTTACTGTTTGACCTTGAGTAAGTATTTAAACTCTCTGAGCCTCAGGTTTCTCCTCATCTGTAGAACTAGTTTAAGAGTACAAACCAGGTGGCTGGCTATGGTGGCTCACACCTGTAATCCCAGCACTTTGGGAGGCCAAGGCAGGCGGATCACCTGAGGTCAGGAGTTCAAGACCAACCTGACCAACATGGTAGAACCCCGTCTCTACTAAAAATACAAAAATTTGCCGGGCGTGGTGGCGCACGCCTGTAATCCCAGCTACTCGGAAGGCTGAGGCAGGAGAATCAGTTGAACCCGGGAGGCAGAAGCTGCAGTGAGCCGAGATCGCGCCATTGCACTCCAGCCTGGGCAACAGAGCGAGGCTCCGTCTCAAAAAAAAAACAAACAAAAAAAAAAACAAAAAAAAAAGAGTACAAACCAGGTATACCTGGACTGCAGTTCAAACGAAATGACAAACCCAAAAGCACTTTGTGGGCTCCAAAGGGCTGCCCCTGAATAAAATGTGTACTGGTAATGTGCCTGCCAGCTGGTCCAACAGTGCCCAAGCCAAACAGAGCTCCCCTCTGGGCAAGCCCTGGGGGACCAGCATGCTACCAGGCCCTGGCTGTTCTCAGAGGAAGGTGGCAGAGCTGGGTGCTTCCCACAGGGATGAGCAGTTAGAGAGCTTGTAGCTCAGGGATTTCTGGCTGACAAGAAGAGCCAGGTAGAAGACTAGAGGGGAAAGTGGCCTTGGGTTGCTACGGGTGCCGGTGAGCAGGCAGGGTCAGGAACTCTGGCTTGGACTATATAAGCAGAGACCACGGCCAAACCCCAAACCACTATCCGGCCAGAGGCAGGAAAGTGAATCAGAGGAGACGAGGAAGAAGCCTGAGGTTAACCTCGTGCAGACTGTGGGCCGTGGCAAGAAGGGTTGGTGACAGGACTAGATGCAGGACCTGGGTGGGTGTCCAAAGACCCCTTGAATAAGGCACTAAAGTCATTTGGTGAGGGCAGTGACCAGGCAGCCCTGAAGAGAAAAGGCCACATGTCCCAGTGAGCACATGTCCCCTGCCCCAGTGAAGGCCTCCTCTGCCACAGCAGCACTTTTGTTTGCTGGTTTCCCTCTTCAGGCTCTAGGAGGGGTAGGGGAGTCACCAGGCTCTGCTTCTGAATACTGGGACTGCTGAGGGAGCAAGTGGACCACACTAGCTTGGAAAGCCCCATGGTGAAGTGGCTGGACCACAGGAAAGCCCACAGGTTGACCTCTATGGCACCATCTAGAGTCCATACTGACTCAGCTCCACTACTGGGTGGCTGAGTCAGAAGAGGTTATGCCTTGGGGCAGTGGAGAAGGCTGGGTCAGGGAGTTTTCGAGTGAATTCCTTGAGGAGGGCTAGGGGAGAACCCCAAGTTAGACTTTAGCCTCTCTAGTCCACAGGCCCCACCCCTGCTCTGAGGTCTTAGACGTCTTCCCCCAGTCACTCTGCTATTTTGTCCTCCTCATGTGTGTGCATCTAGTGAGGTCTGTGAAGGCAAGAGCCTCATCCTTATTTATTCATTCATTTCCCCATTGATTGCCACACACTGAGGAAAAAATGGTAAATAAAAGAGTCAGTGAAGGAGACAGGTATTAGTAAAACAATCACAAATAAATATCTAGTCATAAAGTATGAATAGAATTAGAAAGATGTCTAATAGGAACCTGACCAGGGATGCTGCACTCTGCAGGACTTCAGGAAGATTAAGACAAAGGAAGCCATATAAGGGTAACAGGAAGTCAGGCACGGTCTGTTCCTCTTCCTTGTCCAAGACTGTCAACAAGATCGAATGGAAGGCTATTTACTATTTACTGGTATGTATGAGGCAGTCTATAAAAATGCAATTGCATTCTATCCTATAATAGCCCTGTAAGCGAGGTTCTAACATCCTCATCTATAGATGTAGAAACTAAGGCTTAGAGAAACTTAGCTCAGCCAAGATCACAGCAGCTGGCAAGTAGCAATGCCTGGATTTGAAGCCAGATCTGCCTGTTTTCAAATACAGCATTGTAACATCACACTCTAGCAGACATTTAGCAAATGCTTCATGCACAAACGGACAGCTCGTGCCAGCTTGGTGGGCTTTGAGGGTCCCCAGGGCCTTAGAATTCTCCTTCTTTGTCCCCTCAAAAGGATTGTGTAGTCTGAAACTGGGCAAAAGGTGCCTATGACAGACTCCTGTATTCTCAGTCTTGCTGCTATCTCTAAATCCACCAGGAAAGGAAAAAGGACCTCTCCTGGGTGGTGTGTCCACTGCCTGGGCCTCTGAAAAAGGCCTCTCTTGACTGGCAGTCCCTCCTGGCTTCTCTTGGCTTGAGTCCTTTGTGACCCATGTGTTTTCTTCCTGCCCACCCTTTGGACATATCCCAACCCGCTGGTTAATTATTGAGCCAGGTGACACCTGGCCATTGA